TTTTTTAATTTAAAATTATTCTTGCTTACTATTATTATCATTATTTACAGGATTGATACCATGCATAATGCTTGATATCCTTGATCTGAGATGCTATAGTTTCAATTATAATGCTTGATATCTTTGATTTCTCGTGATATCTACTTGATCTCCACTACTTAATTATCCTTGATTTGTAGTATTATGATTCCAAGTATAATGCCTAATATCCTTGATCTGGGGTCCAATGGTACCAAATATTATAGATGATATCCTTACTATGTCTTGATATTTACTTGATATCCACTGAATGTTCTTGATATGTAATACTATAATTCCCAGAACAATAGATAATATCCTTGATATAGAGTGTTATGGTACCAAGCATAACGCTTGATATCCTTGATCTATAATAATACAGTTGAAATCATTATGCTTAATATACTTGATCTGTAGTGCTACACTTCCAAGTCTGATGCTTGATATCCTTAATCTATAGTGATACAATTCAAATCCTTATACTTAATATCCTTGATCTGTAATGCTACACTTCTAAACCTAATGCTTGATATCCTTGATCCGAGGTACTATAGTTTCAAGCATAATAGATGATATCTTTGATACTAGTTAATTATATCCTTGATTTGTAGTGCTACGTTTCCCAGTATAATGCTTGATATCCTTGATTTGAAGTGCTATAGTTCCAATTATAATATTTGATATCCTTGATATGTCATGATATCTACTTGATATCCACTGTTTAATTAATTATCCTTGATTTGTAGTGCTATGATTCTAAGTAAAATGCCCAATATCCTCGATATGAAGTTCTATGGTTCGAAGTCCAACATCAGTTACTATTAGTTTTAAATAATTGTTTTGTCTCAAAGTTTCATATTTTATTACACACTCACTATAATTTTTTATGTATGCTTAATGTACTGGCAAAACATTGACACACTACATTAAAAAGATGCAAAACAATGCATCTTTTGTGGAGCTTTGCCAAAGCCTTATATTGACGTTTGTTTATAGACACCGCTTTTGGTAATTAAACTAACAATCAATATATAAAATTACAAATTGTCATAATATTGTTGTACATTTTCTACTACTGACTATAACAATTTGTATATGTAATTTTTAGTACTTGTACTTGCTTTAGTTCTCACCTACAAAAAGTTATAGAATGAAAAATATGATAAACACAACTATTACAACATGTATTTATTAATTTCTAGTCCTAGAGTAGATTTTGTGCTATATATTGCATGAAATAGTAGCCAATTTTGTAGCAAATAGCAATCAAAGCATTTGCCTTTGCCTTTAGGCATGATAAATTGTTACCTTTCTTGTTCAAATTTGCTATGTAAGAATTTATATATTTTAATGTCAGTGTTTACTTGGATTAATTTAGAGGATCAAGTAAGGTAGTGCTATATAATTAAGAAAAATACCCTTTATAACTTTTCAAAGAAAAAAGATCTAACCAAAAAATGGAGAACTCCAAACATAACAAGTCAGCACTATGTGACAGTCGAAGACTTGCAACACACACAAAGGTTTCCTAATCATGCCCTTTGAAAGGTACTCTGAAACTTAATGTTGATGGGTTGGCACTTGGGAAACCGGGAACCAACAATAGTTGGTGGTGCCTTGCGTGACTAATCAAGAGCCATAAAAGTAATCTTTTTGAAGTCCATAGGGTGGAAGACATAAACTTCATAGAACTTATAACCATCATGTAAGGACTTCTATGTTTCTTTTTTACAA